GATATTCCGAAAACGGCTATCATCACACCTTTCAGACTTTCCGAATTCCTACGTATGTCATTCGGCCTCCGGAATGCGGCCCAAACATTCCAACGCTTCATCGATGAAGTATTTCGCGGTCTTGACTTTGCTTACGCATACTTAGACGACTGCCTCATTGCCAGTCCAGATAAGGAAACTCACCTTCGACACTTGGACTTGGCATTTGAAAGGTTACGCCAACATGGTGTTACCATCAATATCCAAAAGTGTCAAATAGGCGTTGACTCACTCGATTTTCTGGGTCACACTATCGACCGTCAGGGTATTCGCCCACTGGCTACTAAGGTCGAAGCGATACTGAACTTTCCGGAGCCAAAGACAGTGAAACGTCTCCGCACTTTCAACGGATTGGTAAGTTATTACCGACGGTTTATTCCTAACTGTGCTTCTCTGATTCAGCCATTAACAGACCTCCTTCGAGGGAATAACAAGTCTATCGAACTCGACGCGTCTTCTCGACATGCTTTTACTCAGGTAAAGAAAGCTATTGCGGATGCCACCCTTCTTATGTATCAGGATCCAACGGCACCGTTAAGTATCTCAGTTGATGCGTCAGACACTGCAATCGGCGCAGTTCTGCAACAGCTAGATAACAAAGAGTGGCAACCACTCGCCTTTTTCTCGAGGCGCCTTCAATTAGCTGAAACGAAGTACAGCACATTCGGCAGAGAACTTCTAGCTATGTACTGTGCTGTACGCCATTTTCGACATTCAGTTGAGGGTCGTGAATTCATAATTTTCACTGACCACAAACCTCTGACGTACTCTCTGCACTCAACTTCAGATAAGTATTCACCCAGGGAATCACGACAACTAGATTACATTTCACAGTTTACATCGGATATTCGCCATGTATCCGGAGTGAACAACACTGTTGCAGATGCCTTGTCACGTATTTGTTCCTTCACCCAAATCGACGGCATAGACCTTGTAAAGCTGGCTCGTCTTCAAAAAGATGCTGAACTTCAACATGAGTTGTCGAAAACAAGTCTACAATTAGCCAAGAAACCCTTAGGTATAGGAAAAGATACTATTCTCTGCGACATTTCCGCTAGTACTCCTCACCCTATCGTACCTAAAAGTTATCGCCGTAAAGTTTTCAACAAGTTGCATGGCTTATCCCACCCAGGTGTTTGAACTACCGTCAAACTCGTAATTAGTCGGTTTTGTTGGCCTGGTATTAATAAGGAAGTAAGAGAATGTGTACGGACGTACTTAGCTTGCCAAAAGTGCAAGGTAATAAGACACACTAAAAGCCCCCTTGGCACCTTTCTTATCCCCGATGCCCGTTTCGAACAAGTCCATATAGATTTAGTTGGCCCCCTTCCAGAATCTCATGGAAAGACCTAAATGTTAACCTGCATCGATCGCTTCACACGATGGCCTGAAGCAGTACTCATCAAAGATATATCTGCTGAAACCGTCGCACGCGTCTTTGTAGAGAGATGGATCGCAAACTTTGGATGCCCATCTTCCATAACAGCTGATCGTGGGCGGCAATTCGAGAGCGGTTCATTCCTCGCTCTAACTAAAATCCTTGGTTGCATGCGTTTTCGAACAACAGCCTACCATCCACAAGCTAATGGTATGGTAGAACGTCTACACAGACAGTTGAAAGCTGGTTTATCAGCTGCAAACAACACCCATTGGACTGAATCCCTTCCGTTAGTTCTCCTAGGGATACGAAACGCTTTAAAAACCGATGCTGGTTGTACTATCTCTGAGCTAGTATATAGCACGACACTACGACTGCCAGGTGAGTTTGTTTCTCCCTCGAGCTTCCCACTAGCGGTAGATCACTCCTCATACGTCAGTAGGCTTACAAACGCTATGCGTTCAGTTAAACCTGCTCCCCTTCGACCACAGTCCATTGATGTCTTCGTCCACGCCTGTTTAAAAACTTCTTCACACGTATTTGTTCGTCGCGACTCTGTGCGTCGCCCTCTAGAACCCCCGTATGACGGACCATATAAAGTAATTAAACGTACAGATAAATTCTTCGTCTTAGACAAGAAAGGCCGCGAAGACACCGTCAGTATCAACCGTCTGAAACCGGCTTACTTGGAAGGTAATCCTATTAGCCTAGAGCTAAACGTACCCCATAATCCACAAGTAATTGAATCTCCTTTACTCTTCGAAGAACTCCCTAGCACGGCGAAAGCCACCGAAACTTCGGTCGATCACTCTAAGAAAACGCGTTCTGGACGTCACGTTAGATTCCCAGAATACCTTCACACCTATTTCACATAACTGAGTGGTGCGTTTCAGCCAACTCATTATTTCTCTTCGGATGCATCAATTTTTTTATGTAGCATCACTCAACACAAGTAAATGATTTTTTTCCTATAACCGTACATTAAACATGCACATAGAAAAAAAATTAAATTAGATGTATATTTTTTTCCCGATATTTTGAACTTTACATTATTTTACTGTATAGTAGATGCGTGCCATATTCTTTGGTAAAAACGCTTATTTGGTACATTTTCCTTGACAAGGTTCCTAGCATTTGTTTTCTTCTGCTTGAATATTCCGCAGCATATGCTGTTAGCGGCATGTTGAGGGAGACGCCTCATCTGATTCGTAGCATTCTTCTTTGGCTGCTGACTTGATTTTCTTAATGATTGAGATACGAACTTCCCGTGAGAAAACTTTCGTTTAGGTTAACACCAACAATCGAAGTGAGCCGAATGTATATAAGGACAGCATAGTGGCCGATAAATTTGCATGACAAAAGGGATGATTCACTTCAGCGAATTATACTGTCAAGTTAGCCACAGTGCTTCCCTAGGATTGTTCCCAGTGGAAAGAAGCATTATCATTCGTGAATAAATCGAGAGATTCACAGTTTACTTTAGCAGAAAACCGCTCATGCTGATCAGAAGGCAGGTCTTGAAGACCTATTTAGGACCCCTTTTATGAGCGCTGGGATAAAGTGGGGAGCTTCAACGCGTAGGACTTTCCCCTTCATTATTTCCTACTTGAAAGAATGAATTACCTTGGACCATCAGCGTCGTTAAAAATCCCTAAAGTCCTTTCATGTGGGTTGGGTGAGTAAATAGTGCTAGTAGACAGGTGTAAAGCTATATTCATTCGGCATCCTTCTGGGAGTGCACACTAACCTAAACCGCACTACGCTGAATTCAAGTTGCAGCTGGAGAATTTAGAGCTCTGTGGAACCTCGCTGGGACTGCCGAAACTTTCCTCCCCGTCTCTTCATATATCTAGAGAGACCCACGTCCAAAAATTGAATCAGCTATATTTACGGCAACCTATATAGTTCGTTTATCATATTAGGAATGTAGGGTAATGATTATCTCATGGAGTTATTAAAAATGAAAAACAAGATTAAAAATTATTGTTTTGTTTGAAACCTCTAAAACCTTGTGCGTTGAAGGACGGCGGCAAAAGATACCTAACAGCTGTCGAGTCCGTAAGTGGTGGGTGTTGTCCGCACTTCTACTGTAACGCTTCATCCATGTTACTGATTTACTCCATATTTGTCCTTGGATCTAATACTAGTCACAAGAAACAGGCCTAATGAACGGTTTTGGTGGCTAATATTATTTGATAGACTGAGACAACGTTGTCCCCTTACCTGACGTAGACCCTACACTTCTGCAGTGAACCTGATGCCTTTGCTAGCTGGACACTCAGACTAGCAACCATAGATTCTATCCTTGATTTGTGTTCTCATTTCAGTATTAGCATTTAAAAATGCCTAAATTATAGCTTCGCCGGACAGAGATAGTCTACTGGGTCAATGATTGGGGTCAGGATTAAGCTTATGGTTACGATTAAGGATAGACTTATAGTTTATGTCATTTATTTTAATGTTTTTAATTATCCACATTTTCCTGGTAAGTAGTCGTCTACCCTCTTGCTGGAAACCATAATAATTCAACCGAGGGCTTTTTTGGAAGACTGCAAGCAGGCTGAGAGAGATAAACGATTCACAAAAACAGTTTATCTGTAGTCATCTCCGTGAATACATGTACGGAAACTAGTGTAACTTAGCAACTGATACTCCTCGTTACAACTAGGACGTATTTTTAAGCCATGTCAGAGAAAGATAACCTGTTTAATGCATTTTCAAGCATTTTCTTGTCAATATACATCACTTTTTGAGCAAATATTCCTCATTTTTATGATTGGTCAGCTGAAAGTCACTCGTTTGTTCACACTCCTGGGACGCTATTGTTGAACTTTGCCCACAGAGGCATTGCAAGGATTGACACAGGCTACAAGAGCCTAAAATATTTATCGCCTTAATGTTTTGACAGGGATTAATCACATGCAGTAAACTAAAAGAAGCATAGTTATTCTCCGCCTACTAAGTTTACTAACGGACGAGCCATGGATTTATTCAAACTAAACGTTCTAAACAGTGTAGGCATATGCACTCCTTGTGTTCGTCTTTACTGTGAGAATCCACATTCTCTCCATGTAACTAGTCTTCGTTCCATGTATTTTCGTTTGTTGTGATTCCATCGCGTTTCTTTGACTGAATTCACTTTTGTTCATTTATTCGTGTTAAATTACTAAAAATTAAGTGTGTTATTGCCGTGTGACTGTTCTAATTTGTCGTTGGCGGGCTTTAGGCAGATTGTTCGCTTGGGTTGTGGTACTTTGTTTACTCATTTCTTTCTTCAACCGTCATGTGTGCTTTTTTGATGTTCAGCAACTTGAAAAGGTTGCAGTTTTGTTGTTGATAATTCACTTCAATTCATAAGGTATATTTACATCATCATAATGAACACAACTGTTCAAGTGTGTGAACTTTTAGTTATCTATCAATAGTTAATTAAATTCTTTTGTTATTACAGATATGTACATCAGAATTCTTGTATATTAACTGATGCAGTAGTAACTCCTTTGTAAATAATTCACAGGTTCTTTAAGTGCTGAAGAATATTGTCAACTGAAAGGTATATATCAAGTACTGGATATAAATCAAGATGGACGGTGGTCGTAATCTGGTAGTAAAAATTGAGTACTGGTACGTTTTTTCTAAAGTTTCACATATATGTGTATATATATTCTAGTTAGTTGGATAATACCTTGATTTTTATGTGTTCAACATTCCCGGCTGACAAGTGCTGCCTTGTCGTGATGGTTGGGCTTGCATACCGCGGTGACTCAATAAGCTACACTGGCTGAGACTTATGTTCCTGCAAGTCCTACCATGCCGGGAAGGTTGTTTTGGTTAGAGGTTAGACTAAAGGTAGTTACTATGGGATACATGGACTCCAGAATCCATTCGGACCGAATGGTTTGTGAACCTGTATTGGTTACCGGCAGCCATGAAAACGTAGCTCTTGAGTCAGGTAGGGAGATGCAGACTTCCAGGTTGGGGCCCTCGGGACTCTAAGAATCTATGGCTGGAGACAATAGGTGACATGGCTCGAAATCGTTGTCAATGGCTTACGCAGATGTATTCAGTCTCTTTAACCTTCATATTCCTTTCTACCATTACTCATTCTGTTTCACTCTTATACTTGTCAAAAGTCTATTGATTCTCTTCATCATTCATTTTCTTGTCTACCTTTGTGTACTATTTGGAACGTGGCAACTCAAACTGCTGCACTTCGGTGCCAAATTCTATGTTGAATCCAGCCAGCCAGCTCTTGACAATGCTCCGCTACCTTGCTACACCAAGTCAAAGGCTCTGGGAGGGGTCCGTTAAGATAACCACCGGCACCCGGGCAGTATCTCAGCCCTCATACAATATGTGGCACATCTTTTTGGTGCTATATTCTACCAGGTCTTGTGTTTTGAATAAAATAAATATTCAGCATAAATTTTCAGCTAGACGAAAATCTCTAATTTCTGCAATTGTCATCACTTTATTTTTTCTCTGTTGCCTTTTGTAAGAAACTTTTGATTATTTTTCACTAAGACTTGATGTAATTTATTGAGGCAAAAAGAAACAACCCAGTGGACTGTTGACCTTTGTCATCCGGTTTGTGGATGTTGCTCAGTTGACTTTCTACTATTGAGTCATCTTCTGCGTTTATCAAGGCGTGTAGGCATGAGAAATACTTTTCAACGTCACACCTTATGAGTATATGTGTTGATAATTTAGAGTGAGAACTCTTTTCTCAACTAGACATTTTAAGGTATTCTCAATCATGTACAAAGTAGTACTTGTTTGTTTATTACATTGACTAAATCGGTTTTTCTCTCCTATTCTACTCATTTTATAGCAGTGTATGAACTTATTTACCCGAGGCACAAAGCCTTGAGGCTGCAATTCAACAGAGATTTAAATCAGCTTCTGTTCATATCTATGGTGGTCGACAAAGTAAGTTGATCTAACGCCTTTAAACAACAATAATAATAGTGGCTACTGACTAAATAATGATAAACATTTTTCAATATGCAATTGAATGACAATCTGCATTGGCTGTGTGAATTAATGTTAAGTTTGATCATGAAGTACTACTGGACAAGTGTTTCATTCTTGTTTAGGACTCTCCCAACAGTACTCTGGGTATGGAGTACAGAACTTTCTGGTCGACAAGATGAGCTCGTTGATCATTTAGCCACTGGGAAAGAGTCCCAATGGCCGGTTAATTCTAACTTCTGCAAATTCACGATAAATGAATTATTTTTATTAATGTCACTATTATAGACAAAGCAATAAGAAGACGTAATTTGTCTGAATCGGTTAATGTATTTGCGCGCACAACACATTTCGAACAATCTGACGACCACACACGGACTTGTCATAGGAATATATATGAAATTAATAAAGAGTTAAGAGGTGAGAAAATAGACTTAGATCAAGTTAAAAGGACACATTGAAGGTCAAGATAACAATGAGGACCAATAAACCAAATAACAGAGGTAATAGTACATCTGCTATGATATCAAAACAAAGTTTACCAAGGAAGGTAGGTTTAGTGTGATGAGGAAATGTCGCCTTGAGCGTATAAAAGTGGTTTAAACTTTCTAATTGCTAGGGCTTCCACAAACTTTAGGATACTCCTCAAACACATTTTACAGATAGGTTTAAAAGATGTGTAAACTTCAATTTTATGTACTGTCTGTATAAAATGTTTCGCAATAGAGGAGCTAGGTCTCCCGTTCCAACCATTAATGCTTTCTGAGGATTCTGTTTGCTTTCGGAGCCATTTAGGAATATGCTCTGAGGCCAGCCCTTACTTGCAGAGATCGATGAGTCCTCCCTATGTATGTGTGTCCACACGTACATTCAAATGGGTAAATACAGTGGGAAGAGACATTATTTCTCGCATGTTCAAAGGGCTTATATGGATGGATATATTGGCTTCACATTCTCAACTATTATGAAATAAGCAGCATAAAAAGTCATTTTATCCACACCAGCGTTAAATCTTTGTCTAGTTATCAAGCTGCTATGGTGCCCCATATAGGGTAGCTTGATGTACACGTCTTTCTTAGGAGCGAGTTGGGGAGTGGGTCTTGGTGTTCTGACTACTTAATATCTCCTGATGAATTTGTCTGGATAATTGTTATCAACCAGAGTTTGTTTCAACTTTCTTTCTTCTTCATCAAGTGTGTGTGTTCAGTGAATATTCGTTGGGTTCTACTGAAGAGACACCTATACTAAAGCTCTTTTGTACCGAACAGGGCAGAAACTGTGATAATTAAGATACTGTCCTGTCCAGGTAGGTTTTCTATAAATAGATCGTTTTGTTGACCCATCTAGCCGTCGACTATGCAATGTGTCTAGGAAAGATGAACAATTACCTCCCTCTTCTGCAGACATAAGTTTATTTACCTAATACGTTATGTTTTCATTATTTCTTCTTTCAGATTCATTTGAGGTTACTGTAAATGATAAACTGATTTTTTCAAAACTGAAACGCGGTGATTTCCCAGATACAGAAGCCGTAAGTTTTCTTTATTCATTTTTCCCAAACTTCTGTGAAAAATATATTACATTACCGGGGCTATTGTTGTTGTTGTTGTTTCAAAGCATGTTAACTCGAAGCCAGAGGGTTGTCAACCAGCAGTCATGTAATCTAGTAATCTACACCATTTTAAGATGGAATACTATTGAAGTCACTTAGTCAGGTAGTAGACTCCAAAGCCTCGGGATGGTCGGGGAGGGGTGCCTTGCGCTGCGGGTTGGCCATTGGATGACAGTCTAGGGGAGATGGCTAAACCCTTTTTCCAAACCTCCAACGACTGGCGTATGAAGCTCACTGGAGCTCACCGGAAGACGTATGGACAAAGGGCTTGTTGGATGTCCTGGATGTCTGGCCCCATTGAAAAAGGCATATGAACCGAACTCCGGTCACCGGCTGCCAATGGATAGTGGACTCCCTACTCCACTCCTACTGCCTTGTAGGTCACACTTGGTTGTGTAAAGGCTAGAGCTGCACTCTCAAACAAAAGGCCGAGTGATTCTGGGGACATCACTCGTACCAAATTCCCATGAAACTTCATGAACTCTCTTACAAACGACTCGAGATGTTCATGAAGCCGGCTCATCCTCCCTTAGGAGATAGCCGAAGTAAAGTAAAGTAAGTAGACTGAATTATAACTAGTGAACTTAAAGCGTCATAGAGCCAGCCAGAGCCAGTATTCAGTGAGTCGATATTCTTCCTTAATTCCAGCCATAATTATTGAATACTAACAGAGATAGACCTCTACCTCAACTTTATAGACTTTGAGAAGGCCTTCGACAGTGCAGCGTTGACCGCGAAGTAATTTGGAAACTACTCGAGTACTATGGCGTACCCCAAATATTCATCAACCTTATTCAGCAGTTGTACGACAACGATACATGCGAAGTGATCCACAACGGAAAACTCAGCGAGGCGTTTGGAGTAAACACAGGAGTCAGACAAGGGTGCTTATTATCACCAATGATATTCCTAATTGTGGTGGACTGGATTATGCGTCGTCAGGCAGTGGGAAACGAGAAGACAGGGATATCCTGGACCGACGTGAAGAACCTAGAAGACCTGGATTTCGCGCGTGGATGATTTACCTTTGATGTCACAAAAAATCGAAGACTTACAAGCGAAAACCGACAAACTGGTCGAAGAGGCTGGCAGCAAAGACAGGACTCCAGGTGAACATAGACAAGACGGAGCTTATGAAAATAACCAACCAACAACAACAACAGCAACATCCAGCGTCAATCACCATCAACGGGAGGGATTTGAAAGAGGTTACTTCATTCACTCACTGATCTAGGGAGCATTGTTTCAACTACACGAGGAACGGACGGACGAGGATGTCAAATCGAGAACTGGGAAGGCGAGAAACACATTCATCAACCTGAAACCAATCTGGAAATCTTCGTCACTCACTCAGCCTGCATCAACAACAAAGTGATTCGGATTTTCAATACAAACGTCAAGTCAGTGAGTTCTTCTATACGGATGGATCAGAAACTTGGCGGGTCACAAAGAATATTTCCAACAGCCTGTTTCAGACCTTTATCAGCAACAGCTGTCTTCGCTCTATACTGAAGATTAGATGGCCGGAAAGAATCACCAACAAGAAACTATGGGAAGAAACAAAACAAGAACCAATCGCCCAACAAATATGCAGGAGAAAATGGAGATGGATTGGACACTCGCTGAGGAGGCCACTGGGTGACATCGCACGTCAGGCCAGTGCTCGAGTGGAACCCGAAAGGGAAGCGGTGAGTGGGACGTCCAAGATTGACATGGAGGAGATCGTGTGAAGAGGAATTGAAACAGTATGGACTAACATGGATGCAGGTGAAAAGTACAGCAGAAGACAGAAGCAAGTTGAGACGTGCAGTTGAAGCCCTATGTTCCACTAGGAACCCAAGGGAGTAATAATAATAATAATAATAGTAGTAGTAGTAATAATAATAATGATAGAGATAGACAGGTAGACGAACAAATAAGCTTAGAACTTTGCAAGAAACCTTCATCAATCAATTCAAAATGTTTCTATTCTGACATCATCGGTTGGAAGCTTATGTGAGTAACTCAGGTGTGTTTCACATACATGACCACAGTTCCGTAAAGACTAACGCTATTGCTTATTAGGTATAACATGAATATGTATGTGTAGATTGGTGTTTCAACGGAACATTCGACTTTCAGTCATTGGAATTCAGGTTTAAATTAAGTCAGTCAGTAGACAACTGTTTAATCTCTTGTGCCGTTATACAATTATTTTGTCTTATATTAGGGTGCATGGAATAAATTAATGCCAAAAGTTGATAATTAGATAGTTGGAGGTAATCGGTCGAAAAAGTCAGTGGTAAAGTCTCTGACTGTGGCATTGGATGGTGACGGGGGTTCGAATCTCAGAAGGAGGAACGTGAGTTGTTCCTTCAAGGTAACTGCAGATACGACTTTCTGACTGACTGACTGGTGAGTGCCAACTAGCATGACACCTAGGTCAATCAAGGCTTCCTGTGACTTCCGACTGCCTCCAACCATCTGAATGTTGAGAATCTTTATCAACGTGATATAAATCCTTTCCTGCCTACTTTATTACAGATACATTTTATGCAGTTGGTAGGATTCACAGTAGATTGCAGATGCACAGGCTGTCATTTATTTGTTTTCTTGATTACGTAGCATGGCTAATTTCCTAACGGACTGGCATCATTTGCAGAGCCACTGGAAACTATCGAGGAGTACAGAGAGGCTGTTGCGTTCTCGTCTGAGGGGCTCTACAACCGTATCCACCTATTACCCCACTGAAGCACCAACTGAGAACTTTTGGCATATTAATATTATTGGTTCATGCATAGATGAGATGTGGTATGCAACCGAAGTGATGAAACTTTTACTTTACGTACTCTTAGTTCCTACTGTATTCTGAATGAAATGTAACGCTCCAGGCTTGATGTCTTGAAGTTTCATGAGTAGGTGTCGTGTTCTTAAAGGATCAGGTTGCTAGCCTCACACCCAATCTTCCCTCTTTCCCAAACTTGCTATCGACGAGTAAACTAGGTGAGGTTATAGTAGTGGGAGGAGTATGTCGATTGGGAATTGCACACCGGACTACATGCCTGGTTGTGGTGAGCATTCCTACAACTTCTTGTGAACCATCGACTCAAGTGATTATGTAAACAAAAAACTCATATCACCGCTTACACTCCTCATTCGATCACCCTTTTTATTTACACAAAAATTTACTTTATTTCCTTATTGAATTTTAGATTATTTCTGAGTTGATTGCAATAACAAACGGTGAAACACCAAAAGAGGTGACCAAGTGTCAACCACGACCTAAATGCAGTATTCTTTAAGTCAACATTACTGTCTTTCTCATTCCCTGCTTGCGTGTGTGTGTATGCATGGAGTGAATAAGCAGGCAGACGAAAGTTCAAACAAAAAAGACAAATTAATGACGTGTACAAAGCAAAATAATCTTTTAACCTTTGTACACCGATGAAAAAATTGTCTTACTTTCGTCCTCTTTTATGCTTATTCTCTCCTGCTTCATTGTTTGTTTCCATTGAGTGATGAATACCTACCACCAATTGTGTGTATGGATTGTCGTTTTTCGTCGCCGTCTTCTTCTTCTTTTTTAGCATCTCCTGTCTCAAACTTTCTTTCTCCACTCACCTTTCCATTTTGTGATAGTCGATTGTTGAAATGTTTAGTATTTCTAATTTGTGATTTGTTATTCCATTGAACAGTGATATATGATTAATTAAGGTGTCTCTTTCTTTGCATAAATTAAATTTAAAAATATAAGATGAATTTTTCTATATGCTTAGTTTTAATTCCCTTACTGAGCATACAATATTTCGTGTGACTTAGGTAATAAGATTGTTTTTCTTTCGGGATGGGCTGGGTGTGTGGGTTGAAGGTGTATATATCTGATCAGTTTGAGTTCCAGTTGGTTGTACAGTGAGTAGTGTAAATCTGTCTGTCTGGATTCAACATAGAATTTGGCACCGAAGTGCAGTAGTTCGAGTTGCCACGTTCCAAATAGCACACAAAGGTAGACAAGAAGATGAGTGATGAAGAGAATCAATAGAGTTTTGACAAGTATAAGAGTGAAACAAAATGAGTAACGGTAGAAAGGAATATGAAAGATTACAGAGACTGAATACATCTGCGTAAGCCATTGACAACGATTTTGAGCCATGTCACCTATTGTCTCCAGTCATTGATTCTTAGAGTCCAGAGGGCGGGCCCCAACCCGGGAGTCTGCATCTCCCTCCCTATCTGACTCAGTTTAACTGTCAAGGATTTCATGGGTTGATTGATGCCATGTTTTTGTTTGGCCACCACTTACTCTTTTCCAACCTGCACCTATATCAGGTGGTAATGCCCATCGGGGGAGGCGATGGTTAGGCATGCGCATCACGTGACCTAGCCATCTCAATCTATGTAACTTTATAGCGTCGTTGATTGATTTTCCCTCTTTGCCCAACACTCTACGCCTAACGTCAACATTACTTACCTTATTATGCCACCTAACGTGAGAAAGAGATTGTGGACATCTATGAAAATATGTTTAATTTATGTATTTGTAAGTTATGCATAAGAGCCGATTGTTTAACAAACATGCAGGAGAAAATGAAATTGGATTAGTTATACGTTTAGGAGGTCATCGAATGACATCGCGCGCAATGGGGGTTTTCGGGACGAGGATGACATGGAGGAGATCGTGTGTCGAGGAGGAGATGAGAGATTAGTGGTCAATCGTGGTGGACCCAGTTGAAGAGGAGAGCAGGAAATAAAAGAAAGAAAGTGGAGATGTGTTGTTGAAGCCTCCCTATGTTCCACTAGAAACCCAAGGGAATAATAATGATAATAATAATATAAGTTATGTGAGTGTTAGGGATTCAATGTAGCTAGAGAACTAGATACGTCTGTGTAATATTTAATGAAGTGTGACTGTCAGAATCTCGTTAAGTGAATTAGCCTTTTAACCGTTCCTTATTGAGTGAGAATGCACACATTCACAGGTCGTGTGTGTGTGACTTCTCGTTCATAGTTAGTATTGTTTTAAGGATAGTCATTGTTTAACTCAGTTTTTAGATTACCCCCCCCTCGACATCAGTGTGAGGTCAACTTGATGTTAAAACCAGGGGACTTGTCCAGCAGCATAAATTAAATTGTTACGTCGTGTGAGAATACATTTGATATAATAATTATTATTCCCGATGGGGAATACACATCACCATCAGCACACTTCCATTTCACTGTGTTCTGTGCAGTCGTGTTTCTAGCTGGCTCTACAACTGCCCATTGGCCCTCATTCCCTACCCACATTATCTGTCTCATGCCAATGTCGAAAGTCCAACTGGTCGTCTCCTATCATTCACGTTCCACTCGGAAGCCGTTCTCCTTAGTGAATTTGAACAAAGCAACAACTACAGTTTTAGCAGAATAAAATGGTACTATCTTTCATTTCGTTGCCTTCTCGTCAGCTGCTTACAGGGCAAAGACAGTATTAAACGTATCTACAGAAACAATTTTAACATACTTGCACAGAGTTCACTTTTAAACAAAAATCAATCGATCAATATACGCATACACTAATAATATATACATATATATATGCAATATTAAACACTATTCCGAACAATAATAATCATACACAATGGAAACTTTTCAGCATTTCGCATTCGGATGAAAGAGAGATGAAAAATATTTAGTTACCGCATGGAAAGGGCAATATTTACATTTTAATAGCTTTTGTCCGAATAGCTTAAACGTGGTCTAGTCAAGACTCTGTACTATAGAGAGAGGAGAATATGCTCTATAGAGAAATTAGAGGAAGAATTTGAGTTTCTTGGAAAGATATTGAAGAGCAATGGGTACCCTCAAAGGTTCATCAACAAGTATGCAAGATCTGAAGTCACAAATGTAAAACAAATCACAGTGGGTAAAAAGCCAATCTACTTTCAGCTTGATTATAAAGGTGGAAACATTGCAGCGATGATCAACAGAAGGCTGAGCACATCACTAGCAACAGCCTATCCTGCAGCTGAGCTTGTTCCCGTCTATCGAACAACTTACTCTTTGATGCAATCAAAAATCGATGCATATCCTTCTCATGTTAACTCCAACTGTATATACAAATTTACATGTATCTGCGGGAGCAGTTACATTGGAAGGACAGAAAGAAGGGCATATCTACGATTTTATGAACATGTACCAAAAAGCTTACGTCTAAAGGGAATAAATGCCTTAAACAGTGCCATCGTCAGGCATCTCCTCGACGCGGGTCATGAGGTGGACATCGAAAAGTCGTTCAAAATTATCAATAGACAAAAGAGGTCAATTCTCCTCAAGTTTGCTGAAGCCATTTCCACTAAGAGCCTGAAACCTGATTTGTGCGTTTAGAAAGAAGCGGTTATCAGTCTTTCTTTGCTCTGGTTACTGGATATTTTTCATCCGAATGCGAAATGCTGAAAAGTTTCCATTGTGTATGATTATTATTGTTCGGAATAGTGTTTAATATTGCATATATATATGTATATATTATTAGTGTATGCGTATATTGATCGATTGATTTTTGTTTAAAAGTGCAAGTATGTTAAAATTGTTTCTGTAGATACATGAAAGATAGTACCATTTTATTCTGCTAAAACTGTAGTTGTTGCTTTGTTCCATTTCTCCTTAATGTTTGACCAATCCATCTCCATTTTTCTTTTTCTATAATCGTTGCTTTTGTTTGGTGGGTTGTCAGAATTCCTTGTTTGGCTATCCTTTTCTAACTCACTATCTGATTGATATTCATCATCGAGTGAAAACAGCTGTTGAAGAAAGTCGTTTAGCTGACCATAAAAAGTGCTCTGAATCACACAGAAGCACTGACTGAATTGACACCAGTGATGAACATCCAGACCTTGTTCCTTAAGCTGCTACCATTGGATTTCCAGGCTCATTTAGAATTAATCGAGATATGACTGCTTAGTTCACAGACCAAGAGCAATCTGCTCAGATGAATGCCTTGATGAGGAAATTAATAATATTAAACGGTTGCTGAGTGAAAAATGTTATCCAGAAAAGTTCATTGATGAGAATATGACGCCTTAGGAATGCGATAAAATGAGCATTCCCTGCTGCTGAATTACGCTGTGTCTTCAAAACCACCCATCCCTATTTTGCGTTCGGGAGTAAAAGATAAACTGTCTAATTTCGCTTCTTCCATGTGTATCTACCAATTTAACTGTTCATGTAGGACCACTTACATAGGCCGTACAACTAGGAGTGTTTCTCGTCGGATTTCGGAACATCATCTCGCACAGTGGTTAAGTAAAGGACAAACAAAATCTATTCGTAGCTCTATTCTATCTCGTCTTGTGGATACAGAACACAAGACTGATGTCAACGAGGCCGCTTTTAAAGTCATTTACGCATACCAACAAATCTTCACTTCGCCGCAAGAGTTCGACTACTAAATATTGCTGAGGCTGGTTGTTGGAATCCACATTAAGAAGTCTAATTTATGTGTCCAAAAGGAATTAGTTCACACATTCTCCTTACCTTGGCCATCTAGGTTCGAATGATCCTCCTTTTTTTGCAGAAATTTCCCTAATTTTAGTTGATATTCTATTTGCTATTATATCTTATTTTTATTATTATTACAATTTAAGCATCTTTAATGAATTGTAATTTCACTGCGATCTTACTTTACAAATCGATATTATTTAAAAGACATCAATATTGTTATTGACTACTATTCTAGAATATTCTATGTATATAAACATATATATGTATGTATGTATATATATATATATATAATTGTAGAGCCAGAAGGGGAAATTATCGAAGAGGATATTCTTTGCTCAATTATTTTGTGTTTTATACATGTTTGAATGAATAAATTATTGATTGAAACGTCATTCAGTCAATAATTATTATATCACTCAATTTGTGTTTTATCGAATAAGGATGTTTTTAGTTAAGCGGTCGGTCGGTCGGTCGGTTTTCGACATAGAACTTTGCACATATGTGCGGCAGTTCAAGTCGCCACACTCCCTCCTTGTAGCACACAAAGCAAGAGAAGAAAGTAGAAGAGATGCATGAGGGAAACAGTAAACAGAGGTGTGAGACAAAGGAATAGTAATAACGGAGAACAAAACAGTTTAATTGGAAATCATAAGTCACAAGGAGTGGATGCATCTGCGCCAGCCACTGAGAACGATTTTGAGCCATGTCACCAATTGTTTCCAACCATTGGTTTTTACCATCCCGAGGGCCCCAACCAGGAAGCTAGTCTACATCTTCCTACGTGGCTTAGACTAACTGTTGTGGATTTCATTGATTGGTGCCATGTTTTCGTTTGACCGCCGCTAGCTCTTTTCCAGTCTGGCCCTATATCAGCTAACATTGCCCGTCGAGGAAGGCGATGACTAGGCATACGTAGCACATGTCCTAACCGTCTCAGTCGAAGTAATTTCACCGTTTCGTCGATTGATTTCCCCTCCTTACCTAGAACTCGACGCCTAACCTCAATATTGCTCACCTTATTATACCACTTCACGCGGGAGATAGAACGCAGACACCTATGATCGAAGACAGCTAGTCTTTTCATGTCTTCTGCTCTCAATGGCCAGGTCTCACAGCTGGCCATAAAGGAGGACGGAGCGTACTGTTGAGCAGTACACACACCCTTTGGTCGATAGTCGGATATTGCGTCTACGCCAGAGACGGTGAAAATTGGCGAA